CTAAGGACATTGCTAATTGGACAATGAGTTGAATAATTTCAATCTAAAGTATGTGACAAGTCGCTACCACAGGGAGTTATTGTGTCTGCCCATTGTGGATAAGTGACAGTGACTCTCAGAGAAAACGAGACATGGAAACTTTTGACTGGCTGTCCCACAAGACTTTCCGTCTCTCCAACAATAATGAACTCTGCTTTATTTCTTTCTCTAGATGACCGTGTTTATTTCTGTGTCTCTTCCACTCGGAGAAGCCATATTGTATATAGAGACAAAACCATGAAGACCCTCAGCTCACATCCTCCTCACTGTCACGCCAGTTAACCCAATTAACCCTAAAGCCAGTAGGAGGAGATGGAAACTTGTCCGTAGGAATAAAAGTGACTTTGGAATATACATTTTTATTATTGCAGTGTTATACAAATCATCTCTTACGATGAGATCCAGGTGAGAATTTGATGACAGCGTTTCTCATAAAATCAATGGACAGCCCTCTGGTGTTTTTGTATTGAGGTTCATAATAATAATAATACAAAAATCCAAGTGTTCACCAGTCAGCCATACTTAAAGCACACTGTTGGGACAAGAATATGACAAATGTAGTCCCAGACATTCCATTATATATGAAAAAATGCAATTCAGACAGGAAACTACTTCTGTTGATTGATTATATTAAAGTCATTTGATTAACTGAGTATTAATTATAGTATATGCTGTATGAGATCCTTCGACTCTGTTTGAGTATGAAAGCCATATTTTTTTCTTTATTTTCTAAGGTATTTTATTGATTTTCTTTTTTTTTTACCAGATAAAATAGATGGAAGGATGGTGTGGAAAATGTATCTAGACTGACAACGTATCATTGGATGCCCAATATGATCCAAATGCCTCTTCTATGGTCCTGTAAAAAGAAAAGATGTTTTTGAAAGCGTTTTTAGGGGGGGGCATAGTGCTGAACAGAAGTGCTTTATTAACATTTAAACCCATGTGTTTTTCTGAGCACATTTGTTCTGGTGTGAGCACTTCATCACTTAACACTCGCTGTGTGATCCTATTAAAACAGAAACGAGGCCAGAGTCACTAATATCTCTGATGGCAGAGTAGAAGAGGGGATACATGCTTGTTTAAAAAGGCAGGTGGGTAAACAGACCACGCGTGGTCATTACAAGATAAAAATAACCAGTTATTCTGACACTGGTTTCAGTTCGATGCAGTCACCGGGAAGTAAAGTTTTAAATAATGCAACTGTGAACCCTTAACATTTTTTTCCACACTGATTAATTGGAATTACTTTAAAAAAAAAAAAGCTTTACATAAAAAAATGTAATAAGATTTTAAAAAATCAGTGTTCATAATATTTCATTTCCTATTTGACCTGAAGTGAGTCACAAACAGTTTTGTGGTTGTCTGAAAGACACTTCAAACTACAGAGAATTTTTATTCTAAAATGTGATATTTATCATTTTAAAATGTGATCCTTTATGACAGAGAGTAAAACCATTTTTAAGAGTAATAATCAATTACATAAATATTCAGAAACAGACATCGGATAATTCTCTGGCACTTCAAACTGATGAAAGTACACCTACATTTATGTAACTGTTAAAAACAAGTCTTCATAATGATGCCAAACACTGTTTATTTTGTACTTTCAAAATGAGAATATGGTTACCTGTCTGATCCGAAGGCTCATCCTGTGAGGAACTCTCTCATGTTTTTAATGTTCTAATTGTTCAGATCTGATGTGCACTACACACCCATACTGTAACTATCACAAATATGTGTGCGCGCACATATTCCCGGGTGTTTAATGGTATAGTATGTGAGTATGAATGCGTGCGTTTGCTTGTACAAGTGTGTATGGTTTTTTTTGTTGATGTTGTTGCTGTTGTTGTTGAATTATATAGATAACCCTTTGCCCATCACTGTGAACCTAACGTTATCCTCCCATCTCTGTGAATACTCCACCTACTCATCAAATAAAATGAACAAATGTAAAAAGAAAAACAGTGATACAAATGACAATAACAATAAAATATTCCAGTAGAGGAGCACAACTCAAGGTTTTGTTGTTTCTTTCTTGCTGCTGTGCAGCACATTAATTCAATAATATGCACTATGTATGATTATTTATTTCTCGGTTTCATGTGTGATTCAAAAAAATCCTTTGGGACACATATTTTAGGATTTAAAAAAATGTGTTCCTCACTTACATTTGCATTGGGTAGATTTGTGAGTTACTAACTAAGTAATCTTTTTCACATAACATCAATATGTCAGATATTTAACAGACATTCATAAACAGCTTTTCACCATATGTATGAGATAAATAAATTCAAACAACACACAACCAAAAGTAACAAATACAAGAGACAAATCAGAGGGTGGATAAATAAAAATTATTCTAAGAAACAAAGTCACGGTCATAAATTGGTCTGAGAATAACACAACAGCACAGAAAGTACATGGCGCATTTCGCTTATATGCAGGTGTGCATCACTGTGTGTGTGTGTGTGTGTGTGTGTGTGTGTGTGCACTGGTGGTTTGCTTGTGTCTCTGTGTGTGTGCATCTCCATGAATTTGTGAGTGTGTGTGTGTTTTCTGAAGCAGCCCTAGGGAGGGGCTCTGACATTGAAGACGGGTTAAATCCTGTTTTACATTCAAGTGGCAGGCCCTAGTTCATTAGAGTGAGGATCATTCCTCCTCAAGACCAAAGGAAGCGCATACTAAACAAGAGCAGTTGTTGGGGAGAAAATGCCATTGTACGTGCAAAACCGTATGTACTGTATAAGTGGGTGTGTGAGTGCGCTGATGTGCTCGGAATGGAGCTGCAAAATAACCTCTGCTTTCTTCTTTATCACTTCTGTATAGTGTTTATAAAGCAAAGGTACAGCTTGTACAGTAGAAATCATTGTGCACCTGTGTCAATGTGCATGTGTGTGTGTGCACAGCTCTCCTGACTATCTTCTACTCAGCCTGTCAGTGAGTCACCCATACGCCCTCTCTGTCACTGACTTTGATGGCTTATCTTACCCCATGAATTGGAGTCACACTCCCGGGGGAAATACCTTAGCACATGTAAATGCACTTGAAAGAGTGAAAATATGGGTGGGAATAATAGAGTGAGAGATGGAGGGAGACACCCAGACAGCTTCTGCCTGAAATGGGCTTAGTACACCTCCACAACTCTCTCTTTCTTCCATCCTTCCTCCACCACTTCCACTTTTTTTTTATCTTTGCCATTGTTTCCTAGCCATCTACTTCTTCTCCTCTCAGGCGAGAGAAGGACAAGTCATACTCTTTGCAGTTCTCAAGGTATATCCTTTGATCCATACATGTGGCATTTACCACCTGAGAGCAGATGAGTAATCTGCACTCAAAATAAGCAGAGGTTGCGGCTCCTGCTTTCAGGGTTAAGAGTATAGATGTGATGGACCTGGACTTGCAGCTGTGGTTGATGTTGTGGTTTCCATGGCTGCTCAGACTCTGGGGTAGATGGTGTTTATCAGTGAGGGCGCGTCTCCTGCCTCTGGGCGCCCTGCCCTTTAGACGCGCCAGGCCTCAGGAGCTTCCTGCATGCCAAACAGACCTGTGCAGTCAAATGCAGCCACGGAGGAGAGAAGAGGAGAGAGGAAACGAACGTGAGGAGGAGTCCAGAAAGAAAGGACTCGAGGGCAAAAGGGTAGAAGAGGATCTGAGGGAGAGAGCCGAGGAGAGGGGCTCGAGGGGAGGAGGTGTGGTGCTGGTCACACCGCAGCAGCCATCCAGACACATCATGCATGTGAAACACAACTGCACTGAAACGCGCTGGGAATTGGCGAAGGAGAGGCGGTAGGAGAGGAGAGAAGAGTGAAGGAGAGAGGAGGAGAGGAAGAAAGGGTGACTCCGAGGTGAATCTCAACAGCAACACTGTGTGTTGATGGCTGGGAGATATCACAGACCTTCGCCCTAACTCAGCCACTGATAGTTATCACAGACAGTGCCCCACAAGCACACACACACACACACACACACATCTACAAGCTTCTCAGTTCAGTTCATATGCTCCCAAATGAGCAGCTCATTAGAAAAATTATGTGTGTACAGCATGTGTACGTGGCTGGTTTGTACATCTCGACTCCTACTGTAAGTAACTACTACATCTGACAGTTCTTAGACATTATATTAAGCCTCATTTGCATAATCCAAAAAATATGACTTCTTATTGGATATCGGACTTTTGTTTGCTGCATTTAAAGTTCTTTTTTCCTTTATATTAGAGCTAGAAAAGAATTTGGATGGATGAATGAATGGTATTCCTCAATTTGAAATGTGCATGTGGTGGCATTTTTATATGCCGATTCCACCATAACTGACAATGTGCTACAGTTAGACAAAATATATACATATATATATACTGTATATATATATGTACAGTATAAAGCTATGTAAACACATCTGAACTGAGACCTTCTCTCAGAGTACCGTGGTCAAATTAACCAGTTAAAGGGCCCCCGTTTGCTGCTGCTTTTCTGTGCACTATATGCACCCCGTTACCTCCAAGGCGCCATCATGTACAGCGTGCAGTCCATCATTTTGATCAGAAATCAGTATTCCTATGCTGGAATGTGACCCCATACTTTATAAGGCAGTTTGTGTTAATTTCATTAACCACAAATGTATTTAGGAACATGCACCATGAAGCATAATATAAACTAAAATAATGAATATTAATCACCAGATCTTAATTCAGGACCCACCTCAGCAGTGCAGATTCTCTGACAAATTAGGAATTAATCAAATCACCAAAAGCCAATAAAGAGTGAACCCGAGAACTTTGGGGATCATGCTGAATTGCAGCAACTGAGTGCAGGTAACCCAGTCTTGGGCGGAACCTGGACTTATGTCAGTATTTGTGGTCCCCACCAACCATGACGGGAAAATGACATGAAAAATTGGTCATTTTAGAGCTGGTCTCTTTACTTGTACAAGCAATAAAACTGTTGACGCTGTTTGAGCTCAGACTTCTTCTTCCTTTATTACTCTATGTACAGTAGGGCACACAGAGTGACACCCACACCCACACAAGTAAACAACAGTGAACCCCATTTCCACACTATCTTTCCATCTTTTCATCCTTTAAAACAGCAATTATAGCAATTACCTGAGGGTGAAAGTCACTCACAAGGGTAAAATGGTTTATGGTTACATTTAGGTACTGTACATGTTTATCAACAATACCAAGCGACACACACACACACACATATACATATACATACATACATATATAGTTGCGTGTGCGTATATAGCCACAGAAAACAGCATGAACAATGCTCTTAGTTTCCAAAAGTCCAGAGTATATAATGGCAAACTGAAAAAAGTGCTATTGCCCTTACAAACCAGGGGAACTTAGACCTCTATAAAAATAAATTCTCACTGAGATGAGGGACAGACAGACCTGAAACATGCACAGTATGGTACATCCGCTCTGTCTGGATCTCAATGCATATCACAACCAGCTTGTTTTATTTCATGACTTTCATGAAAACGTCAAGTAGTTGATCACAGTTAATTATGATTAAACATTTGGCTGAGAAGAATGACTGCATTTAGAGCAGTGAAAAATCATCTTGAACACAAACTGTTTTGCCAGGGAGTCTTTGCAACTTGCCTGTAAACATGAGGATGTATCAAAATGATAATGCAAAAATCAACACAATTTTCAAACAGATTGATAACATAGTCGTGTGAAGCAGCTTTAAATATGTGATTGATTATAAGAAATCTTACAAAAAAGCTGATCTCTTCACCAGAAGTGAACAAACACCAGTTCTCAGCGTTTTTCCCGACCAGTTTTCCAAACGGTCTAAAGTCTTTGTTCACCAATACAATAATCTTTACAGTAATATAACTATGGATAATAAGTTTGCATCTATAGACTCACACACAGCCTGCATATTAGTAGGCTGTTTGCTCCCACACACACACACACACACACACACCCACACAGATAAGGGGGAACCTGAATCAAACCAACACACCCTGGAAGATCTCTATTTGCTCGGCCCCTTGTTGTCACTGTCTTCGCTGGCATGGGAGTCGCGGTAACCCCGGAGTTCCCGCCTCTCACGGCACTCCCGGCACTCTTCTTCATCCTCTCCCTCCTCCTCCTCCTCGTCGTGGATGATCTCCACCTCCAGGCGGCCGATATAGAGAGATACTGCACAGAGCCAGAAGAGGGCGACGCTGCCCACCGCTGCACCTTGGAGCAGCAGCGCCGGCACAGACAGCAGCATCATCCTCCGCAGGGCAAGAAGGCTGCCGATGTACGAGGCCCCACCGAACGACACACACACGCCTCCCAGAATAAAGAAGGCTGAGGAGAAACAGACTGACATGTCATTACTGTAGAAATCCAATTCATTTTCTTGCTGTAATTAAATCTGGGAGGCAGGTTGGATCTACTCATTCTCTCATTTTGATAAAGATGGAGTGTCTAGAAAATCACTTAAAAAACACACACAGGCATAATAATGCAATACAAGCCATGGATGCCTTTTACAGTAAAACTAATAACACATGTTAGAACACATATGTTTATTCTCTAAATAATGTTAAGCTCATGGCTGGTAAGCTTTGTTTTCACACCATTTAATGGTTATTGGTCTCGTTTAAGAAAAGTTTAAACACTAAAAACTGGCATTTCAGATACACGAGATCAGTTTACAACTCCATATTCTTTTTATTTATGATGTTAGACAATTTTTAAAACCTTTGGTGAAATTATTTTTTAAAAACCACAGTGAGGTTCTCTTAAAAGATGACATATTGATGCATTTAGATGCTGTAGTAATAAAATACTACATATTTTATGCACATTCATTGATCATTTGATTTTTTTTTTTAAACCAAACCTGAATCACAAGCCACTGTCTGTTACTGCGCTACCTCAGAGCTTAGGCTTGCAGCAATACTGTACGTAACATGGAGCATCTGGAGAGTCCGTACCATATCCTGCTTCTCGTCCCACGTCACTCTGGACAAATGCAATGACTCCGATCCCAGTCGCCAGCAGACCGTTCCTGAACCATGAGAGGAATCCTGCAAGACAGAAGCAAGTGTCCCAGACATTGCAGCTTGACTGTAAATCTGCAGAGAGCCAGGATCGACTGTACATGCACAATTATAGCTACCCCAGTTAATCCTAACATGTTGATAGATTGACATTTTAAGACATGTGTAAAATAATCACATAAAAAAAACGTATTTTCTCTTTGTAAAAACTGATTAATAGAGTTCCAATGCTGCAGTTTAACTGATGTACATTGGCAAAATATGGGCACGGTCCCACTTAGGGGGAAGGGTCACTGCAAATCAATAAAAGGCTGTTCTCAGTGATTGTGATACAAATTTGTTTCCTTTATAACATAAGAATCGGCTGATAAAGAAAAGCTGATTAGTTGAAACTATATATGAAGTAGGAGTCAAATGTAGGACTCAGAACATTATCTCCTCTTTCTGCTATTTACATTAACAATGTAGCTACAGTCTCGCCAGAGGAAGTGTCAGACTTATCAAATGAACATTATACGAAGTCAAAGTTTCAGATGAAACGTTTCCAGTTACCTGTTTCATGGGACTTTCTCAGCATCTGCAAAAGGGAGAAAAGAAAAGCTATTTACAAGTCCACTCGCTAATTAAGAACTTCCTTCCGGATACAAAACAACTTAATGACATTTATCTGTCATTTTAATTTGGGTTCTTCAGAAGAAAAACAGAAGCAGCAGCGAACTGTGAGTGTATAAAAAGGCTAACTCCGTTATCTGAACATACAGTATCTTCCTACCAAAGCGTCCGCCTTGTCGAGGTCTGTGAGCTGGTACTGCTGCTCCGGCCCCCGGCTCTTCCCCCACTGGCCCTTCTCCCCTTGCCGCAGCCGGGCCGAACCGTGTAGCCTCCTCAGCGGGGCTCCGGCGCAGGGCGGCCGGTGCAGCTTCACCACCCGGGCGAAGTGAGAAACGGCCTGCCGCCACTGCCTCCTCGTAAACAAACTCAGAAAAGCCATCACATCACTAGTGCCGGATAGCTAAAAGCAAAAACACAACGTGAACTCTACATGAGCTCTATCCCGGAAGAAGTCTGATGCAAGCAGGTGAGCAGAACTAATGCAGCGCCATCTTGTGGCCGACTACAAACACGGCAGGACTACACAACAGGTGCAGGTGAGATTATTTTAGACTATAACTGGCCCCACCACCACTACACACACACACACACACACACACACACATTCTTTGTATTGCAAGCTTGTTTATATAGTTGAACTAACCCAATAAATCAAGCATAAATTAAATAATGATCTGCAATTGGATACTAACGCCACACGAGGGAGACAAAACACAAGGCTTATGACACTTTATTTGTGTTTGCATTTTCAAATAACTAAATGTCACACTATATTGGAAATATACTTTGATTAAGCACAGATGCAAAAACAAAAACCCCAAAAAATAAGATTTAACAGTGATATCAAGCATAAAATGGAGCAAATCAAATTAGTATTTGTTTCTAGGGGAGCATGGACAAAAACAATAACCTCCACAGACTGCAAGCGCTCAGGGCATGATGGGAGACAGCTGGCTCTCACCTGATCTGAGAGCTGGTTGGTTTAGATGCTGGCTCAGCATCAGGATGTTTTTGTATATTGTGATTTTGTTAGTTTAAAGGTTGATTCTGTTAACAGAGTAAATGTGTGGTTGATGGTGACTTCTATCAGTCAGAGAAGCTGAAGGCAGTCAGATTACAGGACATTACACAGACCTAATTATCATACACTGCAGACAGTCTGTAAGCCTCAAGATAAATGAGTGAAGATGACTTACTTTCTTTTTTTTTTTTTCTTTTTTTTTAACTAAGCAGTCAGGTGACTGTTCACATGAATCTAACAGTAGCTATCAATGCTGCCAGCACCCTCAGTCATGGTGCTCTGACCCAGTTAGCCTGGCCTGGCCCCCTACCACCCTCATGACTGGCACACACATACAACAACATGAACAGCAGAGGGGAAACTCACCTCATTAACAGTCTTTGAACACAGCACTGGACATTCCCTAGGGATTGCCACAAAACAATTCTCATCTCAAACTCGGGGAAAGCTGGGTAACAGACTTGCTGTGGAATCAGCAGGACATTGCTATGGGAGATCATCATGCGGCTGCAGCAACAGGGAGCATGGCCCAGGATGAGTGCCGCTGCCACCATGCCCTCATCCAGAGCCTGTCAATCATTGATGGAGTCAGCAATCCCTGCCAGTACTGCACTGAAAAAGTTGGACAGCTCAGACTCCAAGCTCTGGGACACTCACTTTGGGTGTATTTGCCTTATTTGCCATGCTGAGGTGATGAATGACGGCAGTGAGACTATGACAACTGCATAGCTTGTCACGTGTACAGGTTCACACCATGTTGAATTATTATTCCAGCTGTCACCTGTGCAGAACTTGACTTTATAAGCTCCTTGATTCTTATGCTGATATAGTGACC